CCGTATGTACGACGTCTTCAACCAGTCATCAGCTTTGAAATATTGTGTCGCAAACAGATAATTGCGCGCTCATATAACACAAACGGTGACGTCAATTTTTTTTGTCAAGTGTGATTGCGGAGTGGGCATTATAAAAAGTACAACGCAACGACAGTTTTATGACGTAAATGCATAAGACTAAGACCAAAATATTAGAAGCATCTGAAGCGACACCAAAAGTAATAAATAGGCACAGTTCGCCTCAACTTAGAGCAGTCAAAATGAGCACTACTGAATATGAACAAAGTGTTGTTAATCGTGTGATAAATTTCAAGTCACGAGCGTTTCAGCATCAGCCCGTTTCAGCTTCAGCCCCCACAATAAATAAGGGCCCCCATATGAAAGTGACAATCATGTGATAAGATCTGTAATGGGTTTGAAAAACGGCTAACCCCCACACCCCCCTCATCACCCACTTGATTATCGCCATATATGATATATGCAGCTCGTGATTATGTAATAAACAAAAATAACGCGGGCAACTGTTACGTGACGATTGGGGGCTTAAAAACAATGCAAAATGATCTACAACCAAACCATCTCATGAATAAGAGCCCCTTATATGATGAGGACGGTATTTTGATTATTATGAAAGCGTAAGAATGTTTTTCATTGGCAGATCGATAAACGTGACTTCATATTAAATTACGCGAGTTTTTTTCGTACATCCTATTGTCTGACCAAATGGCGACCTCTACTTCTCCACATATTAGCTTCTTTATTAGTGAGGAAAGACCTACACCAGTGGTATTTTCCCAAAAGTTTAATTACACATCGAAAAGGTTAGCTCTATCGGAATGGTATAACGCACTTCAGGCGTGCCTCGCAGTTCATAAAAACGATCCGAAACTGGTTGAACTCGAGCGAAAGTATAAAAATGGTCATTACACGAAAGCTATCGATGATTACTTTAAATTATTAATGCCCGCTTGTCTTTTTGAGAAAGAGAAAGTATGTTAAACGCGTTTGCTTATTTGGTTGATATATTGAATCCAAGCTTAAGATTATTCATATTTTTCAGGCCTCTGTTGACAAGGTGTTAACAAAAAAAACAGGAAATGCAATCCGAAAACGTATCGGTGATCTTCTTCAGGAAGAAAAATGTTCTAAAAAATCTTGTGTAAGGGAATCGAATCAGAAAACAAATCAGGAAAATGATGATTTTTGCCCGTCTTCATCCAATCCTAATTCGGAATATTTCAACACTCGGGAGATATTAAATAAAAAAGGTATTGATTATTTATCAAATGTAGTCAAAGCCGAGCACATTAATGAACTAATCGTAATTTATTTAGAACGACATAATGTGTGCTATTCGTGGAAAAGCATTGTTAATCAGATTGATTTTAGGACTACCTCTAAAGACGATGTAAATATGCACCAATATGTTTATTATATTCATTACATTCGCTAGACGTAATCATGCATGAACATTACTTTTCAGTGGGTCTACGAGGATCATAATATCTCTGAAGAATTCCGAAATTTTCAAAAATCGACAATCGATTATATTAAAAAAAATCCAATTTTATGCTACAAAAAGGACATCCAAAAAATTCTGTAAGTATTGTATTGTAAATCTGAATCATATTTTTTTTTAGATTTTGTATTCATTATTATTATCCGTAAATAGGTCTCTTTCGAATATAATGCTTATCGAACACATAAAACCATCATTTTTATCATTCTCACAAACTGTGTGGGAACAAATATGCCGAAGGAAACCATCACCAGGTTTGCCTTCGGTAGTAATCAATTTAGCTATTGAGTATTCTTCCGTAAGTTTACTTTTTTTCACTCTCGGAATTAAGTTTGTAGAAATAAAATTAAACACATTTTTCTTTCTCTTTAATTCTAGTTGTCAAATTCTTTTACAACTTCAAAAGATATTCAAAATATATGGTGCAATAATTTTTCTGAAGTCACAAAATTGACAGATCGAGATAAAGACATTTTTTGTCAATCTCAAATCATTTTTCGAAATTTGTAAGTATAACTCGTCGTAAATCATAATTCTGTAACAATGAATAACTTTTGTTTATAGTTTATTTCTATATGAAAAAGGTGTCAATATAAATAACGATGACACCTTCGTTCATGAAACGTTGCACGATCTACTCAGAGAGATTTTCCGTGATTCTACGTTCGAACTAGTTTGGGCAAACAGTGAAAGCTCCGTCTCCAAAAATCGTCGTTTAAACAGTTCAGAAAACAAAGAAAACAATAAAGGTAAAAAGCCCGACTTTAAGATTATCACAAAAACAAAAAAAGAAATTCTTTTCGGAGAAGTAAAGAAAAAAGATTCATCATCTTTATTGGTCAATAAAGACCTTATCAAGCTATCAAATTTCCAATCAGGTGCTTTAGATGAACTAATTAAAATATACGGTAATAAGATTGGTTTGACTTCATTTGGAATTTGGGTTAGTGGTAAGTGGATAAATTTAGTATTTTATTTATTTAATGCATGAGATTTATTAATGCGTACTTTGATATAGGTCCACGTATTCGGATCTATGAAATGGATCTAAAATACGATGGTTTATATAGAATGTTTTTGATGGCAAATGTTTTGGCCCCAACGGAGCGGGCACAATTCTTAAATCTAATACCAGTATTAGAAGCGCTATATAAGGTCAAAGTAAGTGATAGATAAATGGTTTCTGTTTATTTTTAGTGCAAATCGCATTTAACACTTTATGATTTAAGGATCGTATCTCTGAAGTTTTGGGGGTAATCGCTTCCGATACTCCGGCTAGTTCGCCACGCCAAACTTACATCAGGATACCTACCCCTCCACCGAAATCAGTAAAGATTTCTATTATTGGCTTAGCGTCAAATTGACTTTTATCGGATTTTGTTTTTATTCCACATAAAATTTTTGTTTTAGCATATACTTTAAAGAAATAAAATGTGTCTCTTTTGCTGTGATATTTACGCAAAATCTTCAAATTAATTTTTATTAGTGATATAATATCTTTTAAATAAATGACAGAACATATACAATATACGTGTATTACTAAACATGCAATCCACAATTGAGAATCCAAAATTGATAAACTTAGAAAAACTTTTGCTGATGTTGAGGCTGAAAATATCGAACTTAAAGTTGAGAATGTGAAAGTTATGGCAGAAAATACTGAGATTAAAGCCGATAATGTAAAGTTAAAGCAAGCTTTAGAAGAACATGAAACTAGAATCATAAATCTAGAACAGAAAAATAAAATAAAAAGCTATCACTAATATTTCGCAATCTTCAGTAAATGATACTCCTGAACAGATAATCTTACAAAGTGAGGATGCCCAGCATCTAACATACAGTGTGTAACGAAAAAAACCGCTATCATAAAATATATCATAACTCAATGGCCATGCAAAATTTTTAAACAATTCAATTTTTTTTAAAAGCTTATAATGTGCTTTATTGCAGGTAAAATTTCTCAAGACAAAATTCTATCGCCATTTTTCTGCAAAACAAGCTCACACCTCTTTTTTCATCGATAAAATTAATTTTGTACAGTCGTTTCTGGAATTGCGTCCATTCTTCGGTCATAAATTGTTTTATTTCTTAGCATCCATG